CTTTCATGTGACTCGGGAGTCACGAGTAATATGAAAGTTCATATTGAACGAATAACTCGCGAACGATACATCACTATTATCGACCTCCATGTAAGTTACCAGCTTTTACCATATATGGGGTACCGAACACATGATTTGTGTCACATGATCATCAGCAATTTATCGGGGAGCAGAGCAACTTTTCTGGGTAACCAAGGACGTTTATTACTTAACAAGGAAGAGAAAGATAACACACTGGAAACTATTTTATTTTAACCAATTTTATTTTCAGCTTTGAAGCAGTGGGATTATGGGAGTTAGAGTCCTTTACGGGACTGTAGTAGTATCTACAAACATAACCGAAACTTATCTATAACTCAACAAAATGCATTTGTTACTACTATGATATGTTCTACGGTGTATTTTAACCAGCCCTACTCATTGCTGAGTAGTTTGTGTGTTATTTGATACCACTCCAGAGCATTTACTCAAATATTTACATCTAAGTTCAGGAAATTCTACAGAAATTGTAGCATTTCCTGTATAATGGTTTGTTTGCCACTGTATAATGGCAAACCAACCATCAAGACAAATAAACAATATTTACAGGAACCAGCATGTTTCTCTGTTCTATTACAATGATTGGAATCATTCAACTTCAGCTTGTTAATGTATTGATTGCTTGTGGAGAAGCTGTTTAAAAGCGCCGGAAGAGTTTTGCAGAAGCTTCAGACTTGAGCATAGTGATACCATCAGTAACATAATTTACAGTAGCATTGACATTTTTACACATTTGCCAAGTTTCGAAACCTGTTACATTAAAAAACAGCTTATTTTTAGTAAGACCAATAATGGAACATTAATGTACCCCCAAAGTGTACCACACCTTAAACAGCTGGAGTGTGTCTGTTCTGCCCTGTGTAAGGTGGTAGCAGGGTGAAGCGGCTACAGACAGATCTGATACTGTGTAATTACCCAGTCTGCTTCTTTCCTAAATAGAACAAAGGTCCTGTCTTTTTGAGAAGGCCTGTCAGAAGAAACAGAGTAGGCCTGTGTGTGTGTGTGTTTGGGGGGGGGGTGTGGGAGTGTGGGAGGGATAGTTCAAAGAAGGGAACTGGAACTCTGTGCTGACCAAGAGTTGCTATTGTAAAGTACTAGGAAAGATTTGTCTTTGATGATAGAAACCATGAATGAGCACAGAGACAGTGAGGCTGTTGCATATCCAAAGTGAAGTTGTATTTGCTTCGCTTTTTTCTCATGTAAACCTGAGATACACAGTGTTCAGGAATGTGAAGGAAGAAGCACTGAAAAGATAACAATGCCAGAAAGAGTTGAAGTACTGAAGGCTGTCATAGCTAAAATGTATGTAAAAAGAAAAGCTTAAAAGCTTTTCCATTTTTAAATTACAAAAATGTTTAAATATATATCTTTCTCTTCATATATGAATGTTGTGACATTTGGCTAAATCCATGTTTAATAATCCAATTAAAGAATAGTTGACTCCAGACAAAAGCATTTTGGAATTGTTTGGCTGACTGTGCAGAAAGTGCTGGCCCTGCAGCTGACAGAGGCAGCTGTGAAAGAGGGTTCATAAACCCTGGTCCCTACATGTGCAAATGCCCCTTTAATACCCTTTAGCTGTTTCAGATGGTGTGGAAAATCTTGAAGCTAATACCACAATGCTATTGTTTGTGTGCAGCTGGCCTGCTGCTGTGGAACAGCAGCCTGCTCATGCTGCTGTAATTTGTGCCCCAAGATCAAGCAGTCCACAGGGACCCGGGTGATATATGACTTCTACTTCGTGTTAGTCACCATCATCTGTGTCATCATGATGTCCCCCACTGTGGAGCAGGTGTTTAAAGACCATGTGAGTATATGTGTTACTGTCAGGTCTATTCTAACATATGTGACGACAAAGTAACAACACAAAAGATGTCTTGATTTTTTACATGCAAGGGGAGAGTGCATCTTACTCTTCTGGCAGCTTCCTCATCAACTCCGAGTAGCCACACCCTTCGTCTCTACTTTTATTTTTTTAGTTTATAAAAGTATCAGATTACATATCATGTGATCGTGTGTGAGTATATGGATGGGTATGAAGTAAGAAGGTGGGTGTGAATGGGGGTGTGACTGTGTCTGGTAATTTCTCCATCAGTCTTAAGCACACTAGATTATAATATGAGAAGCAAACAGTTTCTTAAAGCGACAGTACAGCATGAAGCAATGATAATAAATTAAATTCTTCCAACAGTTACACACAGTGATGTTATATTTGCAAAATGCAACATTCTCAGTTGATGCATACATGCAGCAGTGAGTCCATAGCCAAAAAATCAACCTCTTAAATAAGACAGTTCATTGCGATCAGGGGTGTTCAATAAGTACCAGAACCTCACAAAGAACGAGCTGGTAGATCATGAGCAATTAAAAAATGTAGTAATGCATATACTGGAAGAATTGAATCATATTGTTGATTCAGCTGCATGCATTTAATCAGATATCCAACATATAATGTATTTACAAAAAGGTCTCATTTATATGAGTAAATGTAGGTAGATCACTTGAGACTGGTTATTTGAATAGAATCTCTCATGCCAAAAAAGTGTGGGCACCCCTGATTTAGATCATATGCACACATATTACGTTAAATCAGTATTTGAAGAATTGAAAATAAATCAAATTTTCGGGTAAAAGATCATTGTTAGATCTTAAGTTTATCGATTGCAAATAATAAAACAAAAAAAGTGAAAACAGTTCAAAAATAAAAAAGTTGGGATATGTAACGCAGTGTGAGACGAGAGCTTGCTTGATGTTTGTGTATTATCTAAATGCTAATAGCTGCTTCACATTCTCTTGGTGATCTTTAAATGCAACACACACTAAAAATATTTTCCAAAGACTTAGATCTGCACGTTACTCACTTATCATTTGAGTGCACACGCAGGGTTATGGTTTCCTGTTTACAGCCAAGTATGGTATACATCATTACAGATGATGATCATTTGAAGATCTTAGTGAATCAGAAGTGAAGTTACTGAGCTGATTATAAAAGATGTTTTTAGAAAACAGTGGATAGAGTTCATACTTTTCGTATTTCAAATTATTGCATTTTCATTCTAATTACTGTGAACTTTATTTTTTGAGAGGGAGACTGTCTTGATACAGAAGAATTGAAACAGAAACAAATACTACATGTTTATCACACCTCTACACAGCTTTTTTCTACCTATCATCTTCATGTTCCTTTTTTTTCTGTTTGCAACATTGTCAGTATAGAACAGAGTATAAAGCAGTATATTAGCACTACAATACCTGTATTAAAGTTCTTTTCTGTGTGTTATGCATATCAATCAATCAGATCCCCTTCTATGGAGAGTTGTGTGAGCAGATGAAAGGAGGAGAAAACTGCAAAACTCTGGTTGGTTACTCTGCCGTCTACAAGATGTGCTTCGGCATGGCCTGGTTCTTCTTCTTCTTTGCTCTGTTCACCTTACGAATCAACATTAGTACCGGCTGGAGGGCAGCCATACATAATGGGTAAGTAACCTACTTCTTCTCTGTCTTTAATCAGTTGAAGACAATCTGTAACATCTACAAGGGACTTTCAATACAACCCTGTATCCTCAACCTGTGTTTGAATGCTTCGAAGACAATGCATGCTGTCCTCCATAGCTGTGTTATATAAAGACTAAGGCACACTGACTGTATGATCCTGCAGTTTGACATAAGAAAAACATTGTTTTCTTTATTCTTCTGTATCAAGGTCAGAATAATAATAATAATAATAATAACACATTTTATTTATAAGTGCCTTGCAGGTCACTCAAGGACACTGTACATAAAAATAAAATAAAAACAGATAATTATAAAACAGGGCATATAAACACGTTTAAAATCAATGATGAACAGAAGCAAGGAGGAAGGAGGTTAGAGGGAGTATGCAGTCCGGAACAGGGGTGTTTTGAGTTGAGATTTGAAGGTGGGGAGAGAGTCACAGTTACGGAGATCGGGTGGTAAGGCGTTCCAGAGATAGGGAGCAGAGCGACTGATTGCTCTGGCTCCCATAGTATTGAGGCGGGCAGGTGGGACGGAGAGGTGGATGGAGGAGGAGGATCTGAGGGACCGAGTGGGGGTTAAGACGTGGAGGAGGTCAGATAGGTGGGGGGGGGCAAGATTATGGCTGGCCATGCAGGTGAACAAGAGAAGTTTGTAATTAATGCGGTATTTAACTGGGAGCCAGTGGAGATGTTGGAGGACAGGGGTGATGTGATGGTGGGAAGGGGTCGTTGTGATGACACGGGCGGCTGCGTTTTGGACTAGTTGGATTTTATGGAGGGACTTTTGGGGGAGGCCGTAGAGGAGGGAGTTACAGTAATCGAGGCGGGAAGTGACAAGGCTGTGTACAAGGATAGCGGCGGTGTGAGGGGTAAGGGAGGGGCGGAGTTTGTTGATGTTGTGGAGGTGGAAATAAGCTGTGCGGGTTAAAGAGTTTATGTGAGCCTGATTAGAGAGTGTGCTGTCAAGGATGACACCCAGACTCTTTACCTGAGGGGAGGGGGAAACTGTGGAAAGGTCAATGGTAAGGGCGAAGCTGTTGACTTTAGAAAGAGAGGTTGGGAGGCAACAGTTTTTTCGAGGATTTTGGAAATGTAAGGAAGATTAGAGATTGGGCGGAGGTTATTGTAGAGGTTGGGGTCTGAACCAGGTTTTTTCAAGATGGGGGTGAGAATGAGAGCATGATTGGGAAATTCTGGGCTTTTTCTGTCACAAAAATGCTGACACTTTCAAAAATCTGATTTTGTACAAAATCACAAATATGCCATAACCAAAAAAAGTGGAAATGTTGTCTATAAAAATCTACTATTTTTCTATCTTAACTTGTTGCTGAGTTGTGTTTTTGTTACTGATTCCTAACCTGGTCATTGCCTGCGAGGTTCTGGTTACTGAAGTTCATTGTGCTGGTGGGTTGCTGTGCCGGGGGATTCTTTCTTCCAGAAGAGAAAACTTTTCTGCAGGTAAAAAGTGGGACAGTGAAGTATTTATTATCATCGTCATAGATTTATAATTAACATTGTCCTCTTTGTCTATGAAGGTTCTCAGTCATCCAGGTCATGGTCAAGGTTGAAAAGTTCTGTTAGGCAACTGGACGTGAATTTTCTAAAAGAAGACGTTTCACCGCTCATCCAAGAGGCTTATCAGTTCTAACTGGTGGTGGGGAGTACAGCAAATATATACTCTGGGTGTGAAAGAATAAAGCTACTTCAGCTCCACCCTGTTGGATGGGGCCTTGGGGTCAACTGGGAAAGTGTAAACAGCCGTTAAGAGTCTGATGGGTCGTTGTGGTCCTCGTCAGAAAGGTTCCGGTCACCTGCCTCTTTGTTATGTGAAACTGAGGTGAATCTTTTGGGTATTGTTCCTAAAAGTGCTTTGTATGTGGGTGATGTGAGGTTATGTCTGAGTCCACCTCCTCTGTTGAGTGATGGTTTTTCCAGGTTGACAAAAATGGCTTCTTTTACCCCTCTCTCAAACCATCTGTCTTCCCTGGCCAAAATGTGAACATTGTTGTCCTCAAAGGAGTGTGTTTTGTCCTTGAGGTGTATGTGAACAGCTGAGTCCTGTCCTGAGGAGTTGGCCCTCCTGTGTTGGGCCATGCGCCTGTGTAGTGGTTGTTTAGTCTCCCCAATGTACAGGTCCGTACACTCCTCACTGCACTGAACGGCATAAACCACATTGTCCAGCTTGTTTCTTGGAGTCCTGTCTTTGGGATGAACCAGTTTTGTCTTAGGGTGTTGCCAGGTTTGAAGTGTACGGGGAAATTTGCAAATAAATACGCAAGTAAATAAATAAAATAAAATAAATACAATATTTGTACTCACCAAAACAGCTGTCCTCCAAAACACTTATTTCAACACAAAATCCATTCTCCTTTCTTTCCTCAAGAAGACCTCAATGACTTGGTTGTACAGTTTATCTGTGCGCTTCAGTTCCAACAATAAATCCCTTTCTATTGACATGGAGGCTAGTGCTGAAAGCCGTGTCTGTCCAGTCATATGTTTTAATTTGCTTTAATGCCGAGAATGACCGCTCAACAGAAGCAGTGAACACAGGGATTGTCACAGCCAAACAAGCCAGTGAGAGAGAGAGATAGGATACACTTTGTGTCAAAAAGATTGATGACCCCCCATACCCCCACCCTTTGACAACCCCCCCCTTCAAGAACTAGGTGAAAGGTTACCCCCCCCTCAATCCC